AATTTCTAGGTGTTAAATCCAGGAAAGATAACGTCAATTCGGCTCCGTTGTGCATGATCATTCAACAGCTCTTCACACCTTATTTTGATGACAGAGAAATAAACCAGATCCCAGAGATCTGTATCTTTTCACACACACCCCCTTTTCCTAGCTGCCTGGTAAGGAGGAGAAGTTCAGAGGGGGCATTGGATAAGAGGCAAATTGTTACATTGTAATGGTTAGCAGACATGAAGGCGAATAAACAAAAGGTTACTTTGTAGTGAATAGAGGAAGTGAAAGTAATAAACCCGCATGCATATCCCCCCTCCCCCTTGGGAGTATGGCAGGATCCAGGGAAGGGTAAGAATTGGTTTTAGATCAGAGAAGATAGATAGAGAGGAAATATAACTGGATTCTGAAGGAATGTTCAGAAAGATAGCCAAATGATTTTCGAACTGCTGACTCTAATCTTCAAAAATGCATGAAGTGGTGGTGAGGTGCCAAAACGTAGAAATGGGGAAAATAGTTCAAATATTCAAAAATGTAAAAGATGAGGAACTAGAAAACTACCTGTTTATTTTACATCTTTAGCGAGCAAAGTATTAGACCAGTGGTGGTGAACCTATGGCACGCATGCCAGAGGCGGCACTCAGAGCCCTCTCTGTGGGCACGTGTGCCATGCCCCGGAGATGGCAACCATCCCTCTTCAACCAGCTGCCTGCTAACTCACCAAGGTCCCACATCGTTGGATGTATCCCAGCATGGCTGGTTTCCCTCCCCACTGTCCCATCCCTCCTGGCCTCGCATGCTCTCCTTTTCCTAGGCACGACCCACTGCATCACCTCCTCAGCTGTCGGCCAGCCTCCTCAGAGGCGGCTTCTTTGAATTGCTGGTGGCGGGCTGCAGAGCCCCAGAGTGCGCCGGTTGAAGGGCCAGCAGGCTATGGCTGCTGACGGACACTTTCGGCCCCATGCACTCGCTGGCCTCTGTGTGCGGGGGCCGATGGTGTCAGGCAGCAGCCGCCCCGGCCCCTGCCTCGCCTTGCCCTGCAACAATGGCACCCTCGCCCTGCCTCACCTCACCCTGCAAAATGAGCCTCCTGCCCACTGCCCCACCTGTCAGAGACCCCCTGGATCTCCCCCAACCCTGCCCAGCCCCGACAGGCATCCCTCCCCATAAGCAACATCAAGGTGACCATGCCCACCTTGGCCACACCACACAGTCTGCCATGACCACCACAGCCACACCCACCCAGTGGGCCACGTCTACCTGGCACCCCGTGATAAATAAGTGGGTTTTGGGTTGCAGTTTGGGCACTCGGTCTCTAAAAGGTTCGCCATCACTGTATTAGACTGTGAAGCACCCAGGATCATCCACAAATGAGATCAAAATGTCAAACTGAAGCCCCACCCCTATTTTATATGCAGGACAGGGCTTTGACTTTGTTGATCCCCTCTCTGCCGATTCCACTGGAAGCAGTGCAAACATAGAAAAAGTAGACTTCCAAATCCTACCAACAAGGATTGGCTTAGAAGACAAAAACTTCCTGCAAACTCAACATCAGGCATAATCCAATAAGGATGATGCCAAGTGTAAAGTCCTGCTTTTGGGTAGAAAACATCAAAGGAACAGAATATAGTTTTGTGGAGATCTGACAATGCATGTGCAATGGATATAGATGTCTTAAGGACCACCATCTGAATATCAGCAAAAAGCCAATAAGACTTTGGGCTGCTTCTATTTTCTGGTTTAGACTGCCCTGGTCACCACTTTACAAGAGACACAAGAAGATTCAATGGTTGAGAAGACAGCTGCCAAGATAACAGGGAGTTTGAAGCCAAGCTGTATGAGAACAGTTAAAGTAGCTGGGCATATTTAGCTTGCAAAAGTGAAGATGAACAGGGAGATATGACAGCAATTTACAAATATCTAAAAAAAATCCTCTCCAGTGAGACTATAAGTTGATGTGTTCTCTGTTGAAACTGAAAGTAGGACAAGGACTAGCTACTTGAAATTAAAAGAAAGTAAGATTGAATATTAGAAGGAATTTCTGAGTGGAAAGAACTGTGAAGAAGTGGGCCACCATTAGAGGTTTTCAGCTGGGGTCTGGAAGGTCTTCTGTCAAAAATATGGATGCTGGACTAGATGGTATTTAAAACAATCTCTTCCTACTTATATATTCTACAGTTATTCTGTTTTCCCAAAAATAAAAATTATGTGGCACCAAGCATTTATTAATCTGAGTGATGATGCATTATCAAAACAATGTTTAAAAATGATTGTTCGTGATTTATTAAAAATACATTATTAAGGAATTTGTCAGGTCTGCCATCATAAACGCTTCAGCCTACTTTGTTTTGCTGGCATCCTGCCATAAAATGCAAGAGAGGGGGAGAATGGGAATGTAGGGGGAAGGGATGACAGGAAGAGAGAAACCAGAGGTGCCAATCCGGCCATCCAAGGACATGAGCGTGAGAATGGAATGCGAAACTACACCAAAGAGGTGCCAAACCTCAAAGCTGTTACCGGATTTAAATATTTTTGGACATTCATGAACTAGTCAAGGGGGGAGGGCCCAGGAAATGGGGAAAAGGCAGGGTTTGAGTAGGAATATTCAGATTCAGCTTTGCTTATGGTGTAACCACTTGGCTTTAGTAAAAGTATACTTTTTGCTACAAATGGAGTCAAGGGTCTTTCGTTCCCAAATGCCCAAACTGGGACCAACCTGACAGTATTAGTGATCAAAAAGCTTTCTTTGACTTAGTATTATAGCATTAAAATGCTCAGTTAAACAATATTTTGCCAATGTTTTTTACATAACTAGAAACACATCTTAGCCCTAATTTTAGCTTACCATGTTGTGTCTACCAGTCCCTGCAGTTACAGTGCATCACACAAATCTAACCAAACTGAGTAAACAATGGTTAGGTCAAGAAGATGCGTAGACTGTATTCTGTCTAAAATATGAAACAAGGCTTTTTCCATCCAATGGATGCACCTGAAAAGACTAGCCCACTTCTAATGCAATGGAAATCTCAAATGAAACTTAGAACACACCCACCACTTCTTGTAGCCAGTATGAATCCACTGAAACAGCACAAAAGGAGATTAATGAGCCATCTCCACCAGTTTGTTTATGCAGCTAACAATCAAGATGATACTGACCTAGGACCCTGGAATTATTCTATCATCACATATCATCAGAGCTTGGGGGCCCAGTTACCCATTCAAGTTTCCATAAAAAGTGTTGTGGCAGGCTTTTAACATCTAATTTCCCTTTTGATTATCATCTAAAATCTATGAACAAAAGTAATTCAGTGAAATAGTCCATACAACTGCACTTATAACTTGGGAACTGTACTGATTTTTCAGTATATGTAGAGTTAAGGTTAAAATTAAGGTGCGTGCATGTAAAGCTCTTTCCAGTCCTTTGTGTTGGACAAATGCAACTCTGCACTATTTTGCTAAACTACAAGTATCCTTACAATTGGCAACCTTACTCATACTCCATATAATTCTTGTAGAGGGCACAATAAGAAAAGTTATGATGAAAAGTGGGTGGGACCAGATAAAAAGGACTGTGAAGGGTTGTTTTAGAATAGAACAGAACAGAAGAGAACAGAACAGAAGAGAACAGAGCTGGAAGGGACCTTGGAGGTCTTCTAATCCAGCCCCCTGCTCAAGCAGGAGAACTTATACAATCTCAGGCAGGTGATTGTCTAGTCTCTTCTTAAAAAATCTCCAGTGATGGAGCGCCCACAATTTCTGGAGGCAAGCTGTTCCACTGATTGATTTTTCCTCATTGTTAGGAACTTTCTCCTTAATTCCAGGTTGCTTCTCTCTTTGATCCGTTTCCAACCATTGTTTCTCGTCCTGCCCTCTGGTGCTTTGGAGAATAATTTGACCTCCTTTTCTTTGTGGCAGCCTCTCAAATACTGGAACACTGCTATCATGTCTCCCCTATTCAGGGCTTTTTTTCTCGGAGAAAAGGTGGCGGAACTCAAACCTGGCCACGCCCTCATCAAACCCTAGGACCGCCCCTTTAGAGAACAGGAATGCAAGTAAAATTTGGGAGGGGCTATTTCCGGTGTGGGAGGGGCTATTTCCGGTGCGGCCGGCCCGGAAAAAGGTGCCGGAATGCCGTTCCGCCGCGTTCCGGCTGAAAAAAAGCCCTGCCCCTATTTCTTCTTTTCTTTAGACTAGCCAAACCCAAGTTCTGCAGCCGTTCTTTGTATGTTTTAGTCTCCAGGCCTTGGATCATCTTAGTTGCTCTTCTCTGAATTTTTTTCCAAACTCTCAACATCTTTTTTGTGATATGGTGATCAAAATTGGCTGCAAAATTCCAGGTGTGGTCTTATTAGGGTTTTATAAATCGGTATTAATACTTTGCGTGATTTTGATTTTATGCCTCTGTTTATACAACCCAGGATTGTATTAGCTTTTTTGGCTGATGCTGCACACTGCTGGCTCACGGTTAAGTGATTGTCCATTTGTCAAGGTCCTTCTCACAGTTACTAATTTTAAGTCAGGTCTCACCCAATCTGTACTTGTACCTTCGATTTTTCCTGCCTAAATGTAAAACTTTGCTTTTCTCCACATTGAAACTCATTTTGTTGGATAGGGTCCATTGTTCAAGTTTGCCTAGATCTTTTTGGATCCAGTTTGTTTTCTGGGGTGTTGGTTTTGTTTGGGGGGAGGGGTTGTAGATGTCAGATGTTTCTTTGTTTTGTTTTGTTTTTTTGCAACAGATAGCTATGCTTTTTAATTAAGCTTATTTTAAGGATGATACCACTTGAGGGTGGTTTTGGAGCTTCTTCAAAGCACCTCCTTGTGCATGCAATTATCTAGCATCACAACAGTGGGCGGAAACTGTGAGGTTTTCAGCAGTCAACCCCAATGTTTTTCAGCTTTGGATGCAGTTGCTTTGGAGATACAGTGCAGGAAGAGAGCATTTCAATGACACGGCATCTAAGATTATCTTAGCAGCAGTAAGGGAGACTCAATTTATGCATCTTTCAGTCATGCAACAAAATCAGTATTGTGGTTATCCCCAGATCTTCTGGACAAACAACAGTGCTCTTTCTAGCTCAGACTGTGCTCCTCAACTGCGACTGTACCATTCTAGTGAAATTGTGCCAACTCAGGACATTTGCTTACCATTGCCTGTGCCAGGGAGGAAAAGGCATAATCAGAATCATGGAGATGGTACATGCCTTTGTTTCCTGGTGGTATTTTTGCTGATTCTACTTGCCATCATGGGGGTCGGGCTGGCAATGTTTCAGATCTTTCACTTGCAGAAGGAACTTCAAAAGGTAACATCTCAATTTTGAAGCAGGGGGAAAGTACATAAGATATCTCTACTAGTTGGGAGAATGGGTCTGGACTTATAGAAGCTTACCTAGCTATGTAAACTTCATGGGGTGGCTTTTCTTTCCAAATATACCTGTATGTTTCTTGCTTTCACAGTTTTCCAGCTCTGGATGTATCCCTCCATCTCCTGATATGCTGAAAGGTGAGAACTCCTAGTCCTGTGAAGATTGGGAAGATGCAAAGCAAAAATTGTGTTTTCTGGTAATATAGCTGAATTTCACTTCATAGCTTTGCACATGTTATAATCCTCCCATTATTACCTTGAAATAATGGAATGAGTCTTAGTTAGGAAACAAATAACTGGTGCAGGCTTGGAGTATAGGCAAAATGGAGAGAAAGACAAGAAGGCAAGTCCAAAAACTTTAAGGAACAGATTTATAAAGTACCACAATATAGAACAGGGCTTTTCCATGCAAACTCCTGTGTGAAAGGAAAAAAGACCACAAGTTGCCTACTTTTCAGAGCCAAATTTTAATATAAAACCCCACTGTTAGTTCCACAAATTCAGCAATAAGAATCAGAAACATCTGTGGAGGGAATCATTAAAATGGCACAGGTAATCAAAGCCTCACCCCTTTCTATAACTTTTGCATATTTAAAAGGGGGAAGTTTCAGTTGCTCTGTTGTATCGATCATGGTTTTTTTTTTTTTTAAAAAAAATATTTTCATTCATTCATTCATTCAATTTCTATAGCAATTTTATTATATTATTTGTTGTGTCCTGAGCCTGCAAAAGCAGGCTCGGGACGTTGCAAGAGTCCCGGGCATTTGCAAAAGCTGCCCGGGACCAGATTGAGTGGCGCCGGCCTTGCGTGCATGCGCAAGGCGGGAAAAGACTGCCGTATGATTGGTTGGATTTGCCCGGGGATCAGAAGGTATAAATAGAGGCCTGCGTGCCTCTGCTCGGGTTGTTCGTAGATTGGAAGCAGAGAATAAAGACTTGTTAGAAATGCTTCGTCTCAAGCGCCATTATTCTCCGGACTTAACATTATTGATGTTCTTGACTCCCGCTGACCTTGTCCTTGGTAGCAACTGCTCTTAAACTACATAGTCTCTGTCTGCCATACATGCCATACATCCTTAATGCATCTAAAATCCTCCTAAATGGTTACTGTGTCTGGCTCACCTTTCTCTGGTCAACAAGTCAAATAATAGTACAGAACAGAACAGAATAGAGCTGGAAGGGACCTTTGAGGTCTTCTAGTCCACCCTCCTGCTCAAGCAGGAGAACCTACACCATTTCAGACAAGTGACTGTCTAGTCTCTTATTAAAAACCTTCAGTGATGGAGCACCCACAATTTCTGAAGGCAAGCTGTTCTATTGGTTAATTGTCCTCACTGTCAAGAAGTTTCTCCTTAATTCCAGGTTGCTTCTCTCTTTGGTCAGTTTCCAATCATTGTTTTTTGTCCTGCCCTCTGGTGCTTTGGAGAATAGTTTGATGCCCTCTTCTTTGTGGCAGCCCCTCAAACAGTGGTGGGATTCAGCCGGTTTGCACCACTTCAGCAGAACCAGTAGCTAATGTTTTGTTGCCCTGGCCCAGAATGGACTTTCTGAAGCAGCATCCACACAGAGAACTGGTTGTTTACATATTTGAATCCCACCACTGCCCTCAAATACTGGAATATTGCTATAATGTCACCCGTTTCTTCTTTCCTTTAGACTATCCAAAGAAACCCAAGTCCTGCAGCTGTTCTTCATATGTTTGAGTCTCCAGGCCTTTGATCATTTTAGTTGCTGTACTCTGAACTTTTTCCAAAGTCTCAACACTTCGCATGATCTTGATTCCTTGTGTCTGTTTTTACAACCCAGGATTGTATTAGCTTTTTTGGCTGCTGCTGCACACTGCTGGCTCATTGTCAAGTGATCATCCACTAGGACTCCAAGGTCCCTCTCACAGTTACTGTTTTTGAGCCAGGTCTAGCCTAACCTTTACCTATACCTTTCATTTCTCCTGCCTAAATGTAAAACTTTGCTTTTCTCCACATTAAAACTCATTTTGTTGGATAGGGAAAATTGTTCAAGTTTGTCAAGATCTTTTTTGGATTCTCAGCTTGTCTTCTGGGTGTTGGCTATTCCTGCCAGTTTAGTGTCATCTGCAAATTTGATGTGTTCCCCTTCAATTTCCTCATCTAAGTCATTGATGAAGATATTAAAGAGTACTGGGGCTAAGACGGTGGCTTGTGGTAACCCACTGCTTACTTCTCTCCATGTGGATGTAGTACCACTGAAGACTACTAGCTGAGTATGGTTTGTCAGCCAGCTACAGATCCATCTGGTGTTGATGTTGTCTATCTCACCTTTTTCTACCTTACTAAGCAGCAGGTTGTGGTCTACTTTGTCAAATGTCTTACTGAAATCTAAGTATACTAAGTCCACAGCATTTCGCTGGTCTACTAATTTAGTCACTTTATCAAAGAATGAAATAAAATTGGTTTGGCATGATCTGTTTTTAACAAACCCATGCTGGCTGCTAGTTATAACTTTGTTTGCCTCTAGTTGTTCGCAAGTCTGTTTTTAATTATCTTTCCAGGATCCTCCCAGGTATTGATATTAGATTGATTGGTTTGTATTTTCCTGGGTCTGTTTCTTTTCCTTTCTTGAAGATGGGAACCACATCAGCCCTTTTCCAATCATCAGGTACTTTCCCGGTGCTCCAGGATTTTTGAAAGATATGGTGCATTGGTTCTGAGATAACACCTGCCAGCTCCTTCAGAACTCTGGGATGTAATCTGTTGGGTCCCGGTGATTTATATTCATCAAGGTTGGATAGGTGTTCTCTTACTATTTTCTTGCTTATTTTAATTTTTGTTTCTACTTTATCTTTTGCAGTAGTTTTTTTGTTTGTCTGTTGGGTTATAATTTATTTTTGTGTGAAGACTGATGCAAAGAATGAGTTAAGCAGCTCTGCTTTCTCCCTACTGCCTGTTACTTCCTTGCCATCTTCTCTCTTTAGTTTCCTTGATTTTTTCTTTTTATTAATATGTTGAAAGAAACTTTTTTTATTGTCCTTGATTTTTTTGCAAGCCTTTGTTCATTCTGAGCCTTTGCTTTCCTGACTTCATCTTTGCATGTTCTAGCTGTCTACTGATAATCAGCCTTAGTTAAGTGTCCCTCTTTCCATTTTTTGTACTTGTCCTTTTTATCTTTTAATTTGTCAGAGAGAACTTTGTGCAGCCATTCTCGTTTCTTCTTGAATTTCTTGTTTTTCTTTTTCAGTGTTATTGTTCTGGACTGCACTTTTATGATCATATTTTTCAGAGTTTCCCATGCTTCTTGAGTTGTTTTCCCCTTTAGGATTTTTGTCCATGGAATCTTTCCTAGGTTCTCTCCGAGTTTGTTAAAATCAGCTCTTCTGAAGTTTAAGACACTGGTTGGATTATTTTCTATTGCTTGTGTTTGCATTATATTGAATTTCAGTATGACGTGGTCACTTTCACCCAAGGTTCTGGCAACTTCAACTCCCTCTATCACTTCTTCTTTATTAATTAGAATTAAGTCCAGTAAGGCTTTACTTGTAGCTCCCTCCTCCACCTTTTGGATGATAAAGTTGTTGGCTAGGTTGGTTAAAAATCTGTTTGATCTCCCACTCACTGCAGAGTTTGTCTCCCAGCGACTACTGTGGTATGCTTCCTACATATGTTTGTTAACTGATTGGCAAACAGTTCATCTATTTTTTCTGATTGCTTGGGTGGCCTGTAATATATACCTATGGCAATGTCACTTTTTCCCCCTTTTATATTGACTCATATACATTCTGGAGGGATTTTATCTTTGATCACGTGGCATTTCTGTAGATATGTAGTATTCTCTTACATATAGTGCAACTCCCCCTCTTTTTGTGGATCTAATTCTTTTGAACAATTTGTATCCATCCATCAGTACATTCCAGTCATGGGTTTCATCCCACCAGGTTTCTGTAATGCCAATTATGTCATATCCACCCTTGTGTACTATTGCTTCTATCTAGTTCACCCTTTTGTTCCTCAAGCTTTGAGCATTTGTATATAAGCATTTAAGCCCTTTATGTCTGTCCGTGGGTATGTTTTCTGCATCTCCTGATTGTTGCTTGAGTTTTTCTTTTTTCTCATCACTCCCTACCTTATTGTTTGATTTGTTTTCTTGGGATTTATGACTGATTTTGTGTTCTAGAGATTCTAAAGATTGCCCACCCTTCCCCCTCAATTTTAGTTTATGATAAGTAAAGATAAAAATACTACTCTAAATTTATATAAAACAACTTAAAGCCTTAGTACATAATCCTTCTTCTTTTTTTGGCCCAGCATTTTCTTTGAAAAATTTGTTCCTTTTGTCCTAAATGAAAGCCTTTGTTACTCATCCATCTGGACCAGGTTTCTGTAAAAATTCACATTTATTTGTTATTCTCTAATGTCCCCTAACATTCAGTGTTCTTAAATACAATCTTCTCTATTTGTTGTTGTTAGTTGCGAAGTCGTGTCCGACCCATCATGACCCCATGGACAATGTTCCTCCAGGCCTTCCTGTCCTCTACCATCTTCTGGAGTCCATTTAAGCTCACGCCTACTGCTTCAGTGACTCCATCCAGCCACCTCATTCTCTGTCGTCCCTTTCTTCTATTGCCCTCAATCTTTCCCAGCATTAGGCTCTTCTCCAGTGAGTCCTTCCTTCTCATTAGATGGCCAAAGTACTTGAGTTTCAACTTCAGGATCTGGCCTTCTAAAGAGCAGTCAGGGTTGATCTCCTCTAGGACTGATCGGTTTGATCGCCTTGCAGTCCAGGGGACTTGCAGGAGTCTTCTCCAGCACCATAGTTCAAAGGCCTCAATTCTTTTGCGCTCAACCTTTCTTATGGTCCAACTTTCACAGCCATACATTGTAACTATTTATGATATCTTAAAAATATAAAGATATGCATTTTCATAAGTAGATGACTTGTTAGTAAAGTTTTTCACTGACATTTGTGCTGTTATGAAATTGGTTTTGGCAGAATATCCCCAATTTAATTTTATTGGAATGCATAACATTTCCTAGTCTAGACCAATCCAGATTTCCTCATACAGTATATCAAGTTATTTGAGGCAATCAGTGCTGATTCTTTGGAAAATCTAGTTTTGGCTTCTTTAGGATTGCTTTATGAGACTGCTTTAAGAGACAAAATCCAATTAGGTTGCATCTTGAGTTTTCTACTTTCATTTTCTGAATTATCCTTCTGATGGCACCAAACAGTCATGAACTTCTTTTTTTCTCTTCTGCTGCAATGTAGGAGCTCTGAACAGAACAGCAGAAAAGAAAGTCAAGAGGAGTGCACATTTAACAGGTAGGCAGCAAAAACACAGATTGCCGATATATCTAATTCCCTTCCTTTGCTCCGCCACCTCACCCCCAGAGGGCTTATTCCCTTTGTGGAAGCATGTTTGAAACCTTTGCTTTGGCTTGCTGCCAAATTGTTAGCCTGGCCATCAGGTCAGCAAAGCTCAGGAAGCAAAGTCCTTTCAACATTGCACAGCATAATTATTGTCATTTCCCATTTTTATTATAATATAACCCACCAAGAAGCAATTCCAAATCCTGTGGAGTTTTCCCCAGGAACAGATTTGACAAAAGTATAGGCCAGTGATGGCGAACCTTTTAGACACCGAGTGCCCAAAAACTCCCCTCGCCCGTCCCTGCCCCCGCTCCACCTCTGCCCCTGCTCCGCCCCTGCACCCCTCCACCTGCCCACAGGGCCAACTACCGCCTCCACAGCCCACTGCAGATCACCCAGGTGGCCCTGTAGTGCCATGGCAGCTACGCCCTCCACCTGCAACCTGCAGCATCATCTGCACACAATGGGACGTGAGAGCAGAGTCTTGTCCCTGCTGCCCAGCTGCCATGTCCTTGGCTATGCTGCTCCGTGCGGGCCACGGCTGGGGGCGACTCTCCTCCGGGGGTCCTGCTGGTGAGGAGGGACCCACGGGGGGGTGGGGGTGGGGCAACGGTGCGCGTGCCCACAGAGAGGGCTCTGCGTGCCGCCCCTGGCACACGTGCCATAGTTTCGCCACCATTGGTATAGGCTTTTAAAATCTGCGACCAAAGATCCTCTGCATGTTTGCCAAGGAAAGTGAGAAGCTTCCACCTCAGAGGAACAGATGTTGCTTAACATTCTTATCTTGACCACACTTGGAATACTGCATCCAGTTCTGGTCACAATACAAAAATGAATTTGAGACTCTAGAACAAGGGTGTCAAACTCGATTTCATTGAGGGCCACATCAGCACTGTAGTTGCCCTCAGGGTGCTTGGTGGGTGTGGCCAGGTAGGGCATGGCCAGCTCATCGCTCATGCCAGAGAGCTCCTGGGGGAGACTAAGCAGGACTGGGAGGGATCCAGAAGTCTCCAGTAGAAGGGGGTGGGACCAGAGGGGGTGCAGGAGCCTGATCCACCAGAGGAGCCTCACCAACTCATTTGGGCTGTGCGGGGGACCCTGAATGGCAATGGGCACCTGGTGCAGCCCTTAATCTCTTGGGGTGCTGGGACCCCGCAGCCTGGCCCCACTTCCCTGAGGGGATGCCCGGCCATGCATTCCTCCTCCTTGAGGCTGCTACTGCTGTGCTCACTCTCTTGCTCAGGCTGGGCTTCCTGGACTGGGGGGGGGTGAGGGGCTCCTGCTGGACGAGGCTGCTGCTGCAGGTGCCACCACCATGAGGTGAGGCAAGGCGAGGCAGGTGGCAGGGCAGAGGTGACCTGACTGCAGGACCCCAAGCTGTGTGGATGCAGGACATGTGGGGCAGCTCTTGGGCTGGGCTCGAGCAAGGAGGAGTAGGGAGGGGAATCCTGGCTACCTCTTAGGGACAGGGGCTCCCCACCCTTCCTGTTCACCAGAGCCATTGGTGGTGGTGGAGCGGGTGGCAGGCTCGCTGGAAGATGAGGTTGGACGGTGGGGGCCGAGCACAACATGGCGGTGATGATGACCAGCTGGATTGCCTTGCCATGTCCCACCATCTGTCTTTGCTTGCCTGTGGCTGCTGCAGCTGAGATGGGGCAGGCAGCCACATGGTACATCCAGCATGCCAGATCTTGTGCCTCCACCCCATGCCTCTGCCTCTGCCTGCTGCTTGGAGGGCCAGCGCAATGGTCGTGGTGCTCAGACCCACCTGCACTGCATGGGCTATGGAGTCCTGGCTGCCTCTTGGGATGGGGGCTCCACGCCCTTCCTGTTGACCAGGGCCATTGTGGTAGGGTGGCGGCTGGGAGGCACATGCCATGTGTGCGGCGGAGCTGGAGGACAAGGTTGGACGGTGAGGGCTGAGTGTGCAGAGGCTGCAGTGGGGAGCCACCTCTGCCCCACCATCTCCCTTGCCTTGCCTCACCCTGTGGCGGTGGCACCAGCAACTGGCAGAGGCAGAGGCACAGTGGGGAGGCATGCAATCCAGCCCACCAGATGGCCTGCTCCATCCCACCACAGCGGCCATGGGCAAGCAAAGACCGATGGTGGGATGGAGCAGGCCTCTGCCTGCTGCTTGGAGAGCTGGCCTGGTGGTTGCAGTGCTCCGACTCATCTGCGGTGCACGTGCTGTGGAATCCCAGAGTGCACCAGCTGAGGGGCCAGTGGGCTGCAGCTGCTGCTGGACACCGTCAGCCTCCATGTGCTCGCCACCTCCTGTGAGTGTACTTGGGGAGTGCCCAGCCAGGCTGTGGTTGGCCATGGGGTGGTCCCTCACTATCTCCTGGGTGGCCCCATGGGCTAAATCTGGGCCCACCTCAGGCCAGATTTGGCCCAATGGACTTTTGTTTGATGTGTCTGCTTTAGAAAGAGTGCAGAGAGGAGCAATAATGATAATTAGGGGACTGGAGGCTAAACTCTACGATGAATGGTTGCGGGAACTACGTATGTCTAGTCTAACAAAGAGAAGGACTGGGGCGACATGATAGCAGTCTTCTACTATTTGTGGGGCTGCCATAAAGAAAAGGGGAGGGGGTCAACCTATTTTGCAAAGCACCAGAAAGCTAGACTAGAAGCAATGGATGGAAACTAATCAAGGAGAGAAGCAACCTAGAACTAAGGAGAAATTTCCTAACAGTGAGAACAATTAACCAGTCAAATGGGTTGTCTTCAGAAGTTGTGGGTGCTCCATCACTAAAGATTTTTAAGAAGAGACTGCACTGCTTAAGCAGGGCATTGGACTAGAAGACCTCTAATGTCCCTGCCAACTCTGTTATTCTGTTATTCATTATTTGAGGGGCTGTCATAGAGAACAGGGGTGCAATGACTCAGTGGTTAAAGATGCTGAGTTTGTCAGCTGGAGAGCTGACAGCCCAGGTTTGAGACTGGGAGCTCTGTGCAATCGGATGAGCTCCTATTACTTGCCCCAGATCCTCCCACTAGCAGTTCAGAAACATGCAAATACAAGTAGATTAATAGGTACTACTTCAGTGGAAATGTAACACTGTTCCATGCGCCTTTGGCATATAGCCATGCTGGCCACATGAGCACAGAAAATGTCTTCAGACAATGCTGGCTCCCTTGGCCAAGAAACAGAAATGAGCACTGTGCTCTAGAGTTGGGCACCACTGACAAAGAAACCTTTACCTTTATATAGAGAACATTCTCTATTCTCCAAACATCTGAGGGCAGGACAAGAAGTAACAGATGGAAGATTATCAAAAAGCTATCCAACCTAGAATTAAGGAGAAACTTCCTGACAGTGAGAACAATTGATCATTGGAATGGTTTGCTTCCAGAACTTGTGGGTATTTCATCATTGGAGGTTTTAAAGAAGAGATTGGACAGTCATTTATCTGGAATAGTGTAGGGTCTCCTGGATGAGCAGGGTGCTGAACTAAAAGACCTCCAGAGTCCCTTTCAACTCTATTATTCTGTATTCTATTCTTCGTATTGCAGATAACATTTGACAAGCTTAACTTGCATGTGGGGTAGTACTAGTTTATAAATAGGATGACCCATGCCAACCAACAGAAGAACAAGCTACCGGTATTTTTGTTACCTTTTAACATCCCACATCCTTTTAAAAAGCAAGCAACGTTGTCCTAGACAAAAAGGACAAGGTTTAATATCAAAACTATAGTGACATATTACTCCCCATGCAGAAGATCAGCCTTTGTACTCTACTGAAGAAAGGCAATTTGAGAGTGTTAACATCATATTTTCTTCCCCATCCTGTTCTCATCTCACAAATGGTCTGTACTTGAATCTTTATTGGGGTCAGCTGAATGTTGCAATAAGTGACCCACTCTACATATGGAAGATTTCACCAAATATGGGTAACCAAAGGGATTCATTTCTGAATATTCTCTAAGAATCATGGCAATTACCTAATATGCAATTAATTGCTATTTGGTGCATTTCAATTGAGGACCAAATTAGTGCAAGTTGCTGTGGATGCTGTGAGATGCAGGTAATATGCTAAAGCAAGAGTTAAGCATAATAACCAGCAGTGAATCAAGGCATCTGAAACAAGAAACAAAGTAGCAGAATGATCCACCTGGGAATAACTGAAATTCCAGCCAGTTGGCTAGAATTGCAAGATTCATTTGACCTAAAGAAAGGAAGGAATGTGCAAATATTTTGGCACCTACAGTGGTTTGATAGCCTCGGAGGCCATGGGGTCAGACATGGCTTCAGCCCAGCATGTCTCAGGTGGCTCCTCACTCAGTGAGCAGCCGCCCTTCTCTTCTTTGTCTGGGGCAGCCTCAGCAGACAGGTCCAGGGGTGCCCCGGTTGTGGGAGAGTGGCTGGCCGCTGCGGGGAGCTGTGTTTCACGGGTTACATCCGGGGAAAGTCGCTGCTCCATACTTGCAACTGCTGCTTTGGACTTCTGATGCTGCTGGGTGTGGTTCTTTGGGGAGGGGGGCCTGGGAGGCTGTGAGTTCAAATTATACCTTAGTCTGGGGGGACTGCAGGACTCTGAACCAGCCTCTCTCTTTCCCCCCCTCTCTCCCCAGCACACTTCACATGGTTGTTGTTGGGGGGGGGGGAAGGAGAGAAGGGAGGAGGAATGTTAAGGATGTTGGGTACCTTGAGTTGCTAGCAAGTAATAAGGGTGAAAAAATGGGAAAAAAGCAGACTGGACAGCCATTTGTCTGAAATGGGATAGGATCTCCTGCTTGGGCAGGTTGCTGGACTAGATGACCTCCATGGTCCCTTCCAGCTCTGTTATTCTGATAGGGGAATGGGGTCCCACAGCAAATGCTATTGATTGCATGAAATCTCTCCCATTTTCACCATGATATTTCATGTTTCTGTAGGCAAAGCAATTCAGCAATCTCATCCCCTGGAGTGGGAGACTATCCATGGACATGCCTTCCTTTCTGGAGTCCAGTACAAGAACAGGGGTCTAGTGATTGATGAAACTGGGCTCTACTTTATTTACTCCAAAGTGTTCTTCCGAGGCCAGACCTGCACTTCCCGGCCACTTGACCACATGGTTTTCAAGAGAAATCCATCTTATCCTGACAACCAAGTCCTGATGGAGAACAGAAAGATGAACTATTGTGTAACAATGCACATGTGGGGCAAAAGTAGCTATTTGGGGGCCTTGTTCAATCTTTCCAGACAAGATAGTGTGTATGTGAGTGTCTCTGAGCCCACATTGATTAATTCTGAAGAATCAAAAACCTTTTTTGGCTTATACATGCTTTAAAAAAACACAGTCAGTAGCACTTTCATCAAACTATTCATAGGGGTCTTCTAAGCAGCATGTGTAACATCTGAACTGGAACTACTGTGGACTTCTAATTTGCCTCCATAGGTTTAAAGAAAAAAATTTTTTTTTCCTGCTGGATTGCTTCAAGGTCATATACTGATTGGCAAGAGCAACAGGAAATCTTCAACTTCAAACACTGTCTTAGACTGATGAAGGAAGTTTTGCTTGGCTTGTGGAGCTGAGATATAAAATGAAAGATTTTTTTTGTCATTTGCACCCTGAATCAGTTACAATTCAGCAACTATTCTTTTTTAAGGTTATTTTTTATGCTGCTTATTTTCTGATATATCATTTTTGATGTGAAAATGTATTTAATTTCTTGAAGGGAAAGAGATTTTTTGGCTTCCAAATTCTTTGAGGACTCATAAGCCCATTACTAAATATAATTTTAAGTTATAATTATATCTCAATATTTGTGTCAGTTTTTAACCTTCCCTCTCCCCTATTTCTGACAGGCATTTACCTGATGCTTTAAAAGATTCTGTGCATAAGGTTTGCAACAGACAAATAATGGCAATTTAAAAGAGCAAGACCTTTTAAATCACCCTGCTTTCAGCCTATCTCCTTGATGGAGCAGCCACTCTAACTCTACCAAGCTTCTATGCACTTCCTTTTCTTCCCACAGCTCTCTCTGTTAGGGCTACCAACTTAAGACAGCAACATTTCAGGTGACCACTAAGTGATAGGAAAAAGGTAAGATTTTTTTTTTGTATCTCCTTGCTGCCATGTGGTGATTAACTAGATGCTTGCAGTTCAGATCTGGTAGCCTTTACTTTCAAAGACTAACGTATTCAGATATATCTTTGTCTTTGATTCTGTCCACCAAGGAGAATTAAACAGGCAGCTGCTTGCTCCTGTTTGTGTATATAGGAACCCAGGTCCAGAAAGCAGAGAAACATTAGCTCCCTCTTAAAAACCACCAACACACACAACATAGCTGGACCAGTTCAGCTTGCTATGCTAATAAAATATAAGAGGAAGTGTTTTACAATTCAGTAGCAATGAATATTGAACACACATTGAATTCCTATATATCTGTGACTTTCTAAATACGTGTAAATTTGTTTTAATTACTAAGGGATTAATGATTCTGTGAAGACTTTGGTATGTAAATATTAGTTTGCTTGGATTTCAATAGTCTAGCAACTGCAGGATTAAGCATTCTCTTTTATTTAGATAATACAATACAAAAATGCCAATTTCATATCACAAACACTGCCCAACTTTTGAACAGGTATATTTTGAAATGGGAAAGGGGCAATAAAGCCTTGGTTCCTGAATGAATAAACCTGAAATATGTGTAGCTTTGTCCATTTCTGGGATGTGGATTTCTTTGAAGGGCAGTGTCAGAATCCAGTTATATTTCATTTCTATCTATCTCCTCTGATCTAAAATCAAATCTCACCTTTCCCTGGATTCTGCCATACTTCCAAGGGGGAGGGGGGATATGCATGCGGGTTTATTGCTTTCACTTCCAATATTTGCTACAATGTAACCTTTTGTTTATTGACTCTGTGTCTGCTATCCATTACAATGTAACAAATTGCCTCCTGCACTATGCATCTCTCTGAACCTAATTCTCCCTAACCGGGCAGCTAGGAAAAGGGGGAGGGAAGTACAAACCTCCGGGACCTGGCTCATTTCTCCGTTCTCAAAAGGAGGTGTGAAGAGCTGTGGAACATCGCACTACAAACAGAGTCGGATTGATGTTATCTCCCCTTTCCCACAATGGACTTAACACCTGGGGATTGGCCAGTCTGAATCATCTGGATGAACTGTGGGGTGGGGTTTGCTTAGGGACACTTTAAAGCAGACATGTCAAACACAAGGCCCGGGGGCCAGATGCAGCCCACGAAGTGGTTTCATATGGCCTGCGAAGCCATCCTGGAAACAGCAAGGGAACGGCCCCCACTGCCTTGGCCCTGGCCCAGGCCAGCCGGGAGCCAATGTACAATTTTGTGGTGGCCATCTATGCTGAAATGCATTCAGTCTTAGCTCCACAAGGCCATCTGGAAACAGCGATGAACCAGCCCCTGCCGTGTTGGCCCTGCCCCCTGGGTGCATGCTGGGGAGGTGTCACCCTTTGTGAGGAATGAAGAAATGCACCATCACCTGGAAGTGGCCAGCAAATGGCTCTCACCTACTTCACATATCCGGCTTGATGGGCTCCAGCAGAGGGGTTTCAGCAGGCAGTGAGGCTCCTCCAGTGGACCATGCCTTGGCACTTGCCCCGCTCCCACCTCTTTTTGCCAGAGACCTTCAGATCTGTCCCAGTCCTGCCTAGGCCCCCACAGGCACCCTTGACGCAAACGATGTAGAGCTGGCCATGCCCACCCTGGCCACACCCACCCGCCCCCCCAAGGGCAACCGCAATGCTGATGTGGTCCTCAATGAAATTGAGTTTGATACCCCTGCTTTAAAGTAATTGATCTGTAAAGAAATTCCTCAGATCCTGTTTATTATGCCTGCTATCAACTACTCTTAATAAAAGTTCCTGTTGAAAGAAATTGTTTCCAAGAGTTCTGCTTCCTTAAGATGTGGGATTGAAGTGGGTCCTTACAGGCAGCATGAGGGCCAGTTTGAGGCCATAGCTTGACATTTGTTCATGGTGCTCTAGTTTTCAGGGCAGAAAACCTGAACTTCATTTCTCCATAAAAGCAGGTTCCACCATCAGTCTTCTCTTGCAAAATTGTCATCCTTTTTTTAATTGCAGCCAGGTTCTGATCTACTGTTTACTGTATATACAATAAGATGTATATCAAAAGGAAACCCAGCTTGACCAGTTTTCTCACAAAAGCCATAATTAGATTTGCTCCTTTACTAGAGTAAAGCTGGTTTTAAAGGAACATCTAATGTCTGAACAGCAGTTTTTGATCATGTGTGCATTAGAAGAAGGATTAGTTAGAAACGTTGCTGAAAGTGGGGTAAATCCCTCCCAGATTGAACAGTTCGAAATTATTTTCTGATGTGGCATCTTTTGATGTGGCAAAATGACATAATGCAACTTTAAAAAACTAAGAATTAGGCCACAAAAGGATTCCTTGTTATCAAAGCTGGCTAAAATAACCCACTTGGAGAGGACTACAAAGAGCACAGTCAACTTGCATCACCTGAAATTAAGTGTGTCCAGTCTGTATACACACTCTTTCCCATCTCTGGACACTGTGTGTGCACACAGGTCATATGTTTAATTATCTTTCTGCTTGTGTTTAAAAGTAGTCACTTTTCCTGCAGCTGGAATATGAGTAGTGGAAAAACCAGTTTGGCTAGAACTCATTTCCTAAAATAGCATTACTATAATTTTCAGCAAATGAATTGCATATTACTTCATAAAGGATCAAGACCTTTTGTAAATTTTTAGATTTTTAAAAACTCTGAACTTTTTTTTTTTAAAAAAAATCTTTTTTCAAATTTTCAAATTTATTTTTTCCAATTTTCAAGAAGTGCCTTGAAGATAAGGGGTGGTGGCCAGGAGGCAGGGTGGGTTGGGAAGATTATGTGGAGATTCCTAAGAGGCATCACATAGATTGGGAAAGGCATATGGGAGGGGTGTGGGTTGGGGATGGTGCATTGGGTGTGTGCAAGAAATGCTGTGTGGTTCAGAGAAGGTGTGTGGGGATGATGTGGATCAGGTAGGGTGCATCGGGGCATGCAAGAGGTATTGTGCAGATCAGGAAGGTGCACAAGGATATGGTGTATGTCAGGGAGGGTGTGTGAGGGTACGCAAGCAGTACTATGCAGGTCAGGGAAGTTGTAAAGATTGTGGGAGCATGGTGGGTGTTGCATTGACTGGGAAGATCATGTGGGGTTTTCTTCCCTTCCCAACAGGCAGGTAAGTGACTGCTGCTGGGGAGCAGGAAGCAAGGGGTTGCAAGGCTGGCTGGGAAACTATCACAGAATATTGAAAATGAAGTTTATGTAATTGCAGCAGAAGCCCAGCAGTTCAACAGAAGCCAGTAGCACTGAAAAAGCCACAATTTCCCCAAATTTCATTTCCTCGGAATCATGGGTACCAGATTCATAGGGAAGACATTCTGTAATTTAGCCCATTTGAGGGACCTTGTTCTCAAAAATTGTTGCCTTGTGATGGATAGCTTCATCTAGTTAAAGATCGTGACAATGAGAATTTTAGTATATAGATGATATTATTTGCAGGCAATTTTATTGAAAAACATCAACAAAAGTATCTCACTTCTACAGTGTGTGAACTAGTATTCTTTTATTTCATTTTACATTTTAGAACCAGATCCAGACCAGACCAAAGCATTTTATTTCCAAAAGCAATAAAGATTCTCCCTCACCAGTTTGATATAGATCAGGGGTCTTCAAACTTGGCCCTTTTATGACTTGTGGACTTCAACTCCCAAATTTCTTAGCCAGGCATGCTGGCTGAAGAATTCTGGGAGTTGAAGTTCACAAATCATAAAAGGGCCAAGTTTGAAGACCCCTGATATAGATGAACTGATGGAACTGATTCATAAATCTTCCATCAGTATTGACAAAAGAAAACCAAATTCCACCACTGGAGAATATGCAGACCATTTACCCTGCCCAGTTCTGTCTTCTAATAGAGAATATCTTGAGAAGAAGGATGAAGAAGGAATAGCAGACAGCTGCCCCTATTTCTTCACACATTCTTTCCTTTGCTACCATCCTCACGCATAATCTCTGAAGTAGACCTTAAGATCTGCTAGGCCTGATTCCATTCACACAATTACCAATTGCCTGAATGATTCTTTACCTTGCAAGCACAATAGGTCAGTTTGCATCCAGCCACGGTTAGGAGAAAGTGGGAGCCATGATTTCACCTTCTCTTGCTTCAGGTTTCATCTGGGTGAGAGACTTACCTGTAGCCATTTCACACCATTTTATAAACATTTCACACCATTTCACAGCTATATTCACATCATTGCTAGTTTTGTATAACCACCATCACG